GGGGGGGGAAAAAAAGAAAAAAAAAAGAAAACCCCAGGGTGGGGGTTGGGGGGGCCCGGGACCCCTTTGGGTCAAGGGGGGGCCGGGGGGCCAAACACCCCGGGGTTTTTTGGGGGGGGAGAAGGCCCCGGGGCCCCTTTCCAAAAAAAAAAAGTTTGAAAGAAAAAAAAAAGGGGGGGGGGGGGGAAAACCCTTCCCGGGTTTTAAACCAAAACCAAAATCCCCGGGGGGCCCCCTTTTTTGAAAAGGGGAAATGGGGGGGGGGGAATGGTTGGCCCAACCCAGGGGGGGGGGGCCCCTTTTCCAAGGTTTGGGTTTTCCGGTTTTGGGCCCCCCTACCCCCCCCCCCCCCCCGGTTCGGTTTGAAAAGGGGGGGGGGGGAAAGGGGAAAAGGGTTCGGGAAAGAAAAAAAGGGGGGGGCCCCCCCCCCCCCCCCCCTCTCTCTCTCTCTCTCTCTCTCTCTCTCTAACTTTCGTGGAAATCAGATGCAAGGCGGCGGTGGCTTGGGCCGCGAACGAGCCTCTGAAGGTGGAAGAGATCGAGGTGGCCCCTCCTCAGAAAGGCGAGGTCCGCGTCAAGGTTATCGCCAATGCCCTGGTGAGAAGACTAGTTGTGCTGCCCCCCCCCCCCCTTGTCTTGGTCGGGATTTCATCTGAAATTATCCGGGACCATACGTAAGAGACCTATGTACATCTAATTAGGGCGCGACACTTTTTGAAAGAGCGACTTCGACTACTACTAGTCTACTTCGCTGCTTTCTGCTGCTGCTGCTGCTGCTGCTGCTGCTGCTGGAGTGCGCATGTCGACGCACGTTGTTGCTGTTTTTTTAGCGAGGCGAGTATCAGCATGAAGTGGCGACCATCTTTGAGGTTTTTTGCTGGGAGTTCAAATCAACGGTCGTGAACCCGCTGATGCCAATACTGTTTCTTTGTTGGCTTTGTGGTGTGGTTCGGGGAAAGCTTGATCGAAGGACCATTCATTCAATCCCTTCGTATGCTTGAACTTTGTGGATAAATATGATGTTTGTGTAATCTCGACACCTCCGTTGCATGTTTTTGACCGGGCATGCTACGGGTACACGTTTGCTTACTTACAGCTGTGTCTCCCCCGGTAGTCCATCTCCCACCAAATGTGTTTTTTTCCCGTCGTGTTTGGATTGGCCGCCTTGGTTGCTTCACGGTTTCCCTTCCCCCTTCCCCCTCCTCGAATTTGTCTCCCTTTGGCATGGCTCTCCTGGGGTGTGCTGCGATGACAGTGCCACACGGACGTCTACACCCTCTCCGGACAGGTGACTATCTTCCCGTCGTCTTCGATCTTGGCCGATTGTTGCTCGCTTGAGCACAGACCCCTTGGCGCAGGCATAAGCTGGTCGGTTTCGTGTGTGTGTGTGTGTTTTGCAAGTGTCGCGGATGTTGGTCCTCCTCGCGAGAGGGAAACATCGGTAGGCACGTCGCAGTTTCTCCCTTGGTTTCGTTGCAAGGGGTGTATTTTCAAGACTGTCTGTTGCCGCGCCCAACCTCAGAGGAGAGCCACGTCCAGGGTTACGACTGATGACTACACCACTGCCACGGCGGTTGTCGACCGACCGATATTCTTTGTGATCGCATTTTCTTCGAAGAAGCAGCACCCCGATGTGTGAACTTGTACGCTGGATGCCGGCGAGTTTTCGTGCAGAGATGGCCTCTACAGGAAGGAGAGGGTCACGTCTCTTCCCCGACTTGTGTGTCCGAGGACGATATCGCCCCCCGTCCGGATTCTTTGTGTACGCTTGGCTTGTGCATCCTTGTCGAGCCCTTCAAGCTTTGTCGCTTTCGTCTTTCGCCCGTACGTGCTTGCGTTTTTTTTTTCTTCTTTTTCTTGCAGGACGCTGAGGGCATGTTCCCCTCCATCCTCGGACACGAGGCGGGCTGCATCGTGGAGTCTGTCGGAGAAGGGGTCACGTCGGTCAAGCCTGGGGATAAGGTAAGGTACGCCTTCGTAGTGTGCCTCCACGCCCCCCCCCCCCCCCAAACCATCGATTGTTACAAAAAGGGGTTTTTTGCA